ATTGCGCGGGCAGTGGGGTCGACAATTTCAAGTTTGGCAAGGTGAATTAGTTCTCCTTCCAACAAATAATGAGGACCCCCCTTGTGTGTATCGGTCTTTCTTTCCTCATTTCAATCTGCCCCATCGCCCATCCGAAATATGAGTTCACACCACCCCAGGGAGGGCCGGTATCGACCCCCCCCGCCATCCCCCGCAAATGCGCGCATTCGTTCATCACGAATCATCAGTTTTCATACGCCCCTTGCAACACATGCGACGGTGCATGCCGAAATCTATCAAAACCCTCAGGTCTCAGAAGGATGTTTGAATCGAGTGCCCGAAAACATATAAGAGACTTGGCTTCGCAACGCTGGTTTCCAAAAGAAGAAATTCGCTCGCGCTCTTGCGTTTTTTTTTTTTTTTTTTTTTTTTTTTTGTTTTTGTTTTTTTTTTTTCCCCCTGTCTTTCTCGGGATTCTCGCGCGCGCATGACGAAATCGTTCGAAGGCCTTTTGCGCGCGTGCCGTCGCGAGAATCTCATGCAACGGATGGGGCGAAGAACGCGCGCGCGCGTCGTCGCGCGCGCGTGTGCCGAAATCAGTCAAAAACCTTCGGTCCCGTTGAGATTTCAAAACCGAATGCGCAGAACACGATCAAGCAACACGAGGTTTCGCAACATCCGTTCTCAGAAAAAGCTTGCGCGCGCGCTCTCGCGAATTCAGAAGAAAACCAGGGTTTGCTCAACATTTTTATGGGATTCTGCCGATCAGGGCTTTTGGCGCCGCATGCCGACATCACCCGCGCGCCCTGGCGCGTGAGCTTTGGGGGGGGCACGACCCGCGTCGCATAAGACCGTGCGGGCCACTCGAGCGTCGGCCGCGCGCGCATGTCGAGCTCTTTCCAAAACTTCCGTCACTGACGCGAGGGCGCCGTCATCGTCGTCGGCGTGATCAGCATCGGCGCCCGCGCTGGCCGCGCCTTCGTTGGCGCGAACATCGTCGCCAGCATCGCCGCTGTCATCATCATCGCGTATACCGTAGCCGTCGTGTCCATGATATCGCGCCCGTCCAAATCGCCGGATCGCATTGTGCCCGCTGGGATGCGCCGAGTGGTCAGCGCCGCCGCGGCCGCGTCGGTGGCGCCAAACTAGCTGGCCGTTGCGCGTGGGTGCTAGGGTTGGCGCGGCGGTAGAGATGCACCAGCCAACGCCAAGCATGCATCGCAATCGCCACCGCATGGGTTTTGTAAACCAAGTTGCGGGTGGGTGGGTCGGGTGTTTGCAAGAGCGAGGGATGCGTCAATTCATGGGTGCAAAAACAAGTGCGCCACATAGACTATACCGCGTAAATTTTCTAAGCGAAATAGATTCTACCCCCCCGGGGTTATACGGCTCCCTTTTCGTATTGCAATTTGCATGTGTTTCTGCCCCGTCGTCGATCCGAAATATGAACGCATATCATCCCAGGCGAAGCGGTATCGACACCCGCCGCCATCCTCTGCAACAAATGCTCTGCGCGTTCATTTGTTAATCTAATAAGAAGACAAACTTTTCAAAAGTCTCTTGCAACATATGTGGCGAACTGCGCAGGCGCGCGTTGTCGCGCGCGCGTGCCGGAATCCTCCAACAACCTCCGGCTTCCATAGTTTCGCAGATTGTTGCGCGCGCGCCTATGCGAATCCTTGGGAAAACCGCAGTTTTTTATTGCACTTTTTCGGGACATACTACCCAACGGGTTTCGCGCACCGAACACCCTTGCGCGCGTGCTGTCGCAAGAACCGTGTGCAAACATTGAGACGAAGTGCGCGCGCGCTTGCCGATGTCAGTCAAAATCCTTAGGTCTCGCACGGATTTGAAAACCAATTGTTCTGAAAACAAATGCAACACATAGTTTCGCAACATTCGTTTTCGAAAAAACAGTTTGCGCTCGCGTTCTTTCGAATTCTGGAGACAACCATCGGTTTTCCAACATTTTCATCCAGGTTCCGTCCGAAAACATTTGCAAGACCAGTGCGCTGTTCAAGTGCTCTGGCATGTCGGGGCGATTTTGGGTGTCCACAAAACGTCCTGCCAACGATTGCGTAATTCGCAATGTGATGAGCAGTTTTATTGTACTACCTGGGCTTCACATCGATATGATCTACGTATCTGGCCTTGTTTTCAAACGCTGAAGCGTCCAGGTTTTTGAGCCGCAGTCGCAAACAGTCGAATGCTTTATGATACGTGTTGTCTCACATACATGTCACACCGTTCCCAATATCTGCAACTGTCAGGCCAAATTCCAGCTGCAGACGGTCCGATACCACATCCCAAAGCTCATCTCGCCGTAAGGGAGCATGCAACATGATGTCGGATACGTCCCTGATCTTCTGGGAATTGGCTGGCTTTACGACGGAAGTTTCTTCGTGGGCTTCAGCCAGATTCTCTCGCGACACCACGGGTAGACCCAAGCCGTCGCAAGCTTCGCGTACAAAACAATATTTTGTATCCATATGGCTTTCACGATTAGGGAAGCTGTGAAATCAGTCACGCCATGCTGGGCCTCATGCTGCATAGATCAGCGTCATGGCTCTTCTAT